CTGCAGAGTATCCCAATTCATATGTTGTCAGCAGTTAATCCTCCAATTTATGTGATCAACAAATTACATAGCATTTTTGCCAAGTTTTTCTGGAGCAGCAATGTAGGAGGGAGCACTAGACATTGGTCATCTTGGACTAACCTTTGTATGCCTTTTGAGGAGGGAGGCATAGGGTTCAGGTCCCTATATGATGTATCCAAGGTACTGTTCTGCAAATTGTGGTGGAATTTCAGGACTAAGCCCACTTTATGGAGTGCATTTATTAGTCAAAAGTACTGCAAGAAACTAAATGCAGTAATTGTACCTTGGAAGCGTGGATCCCACGTATGGATAAAAATGCTAGAATGTAGGGACTTGATTGAGCATCAAATCTACTGGAAACTGAGAATGGGATCGGCTCAATTCTGGTTCGACAATTGGACTGATTTGGGAGCCTTATATTTTCAAGTGCCTGTAGAGTTTGGTATCGATGACGATATTCATAATGTAAATGATCTGGTTGAAAATGGTATGTGGAATGTGGATAAAATGTTTGAGAGCCTATCTGAAGATTTGGCACACCACATTGTGCAGAATATTAGACCACCAACTGAAAGTTCACAGTTAGATACTTCCTTCTGGATGCTTGAAATAAGGGGACATTTTATAGTAAAATCTGCATGGGATTACCTGCGAAGAAGAGCCAACCCAAGATTAGCTTACAAGATTATATGGGTAAAAGGTTTACCTTTCAAGATATCCTTCTTCATGTGGAAAGTGTGGAAAGCCAAACTGCCACTTGATGATTTCCTGCGTAAACTAGGATACTCCATGCCATCTAAATGTTGGTGCTGTGCTGATCCTAAGGAGGAGTCATTACTACATCTGTTCTTCACATCCAATCCAGCCAGAAGTGTTTGGAGTTACTTCCTGAGGAGAGCAGGAATTTCATTAGATGGGTTGTCATTACATCAAGCAATTACAAAGTGTTGGACAGCACCAGTTGTACCTAGATTGAAGCCAGTATTGCAAGCTTTACCTGCATACATTGTATGGGAACTGTGGAAGAGAAGAAAGAGTTTGAAATATGGAGAAGTAGTGTCAGTGAGCAGAGTTATTTACCAGGTGTCATCTACTTTGCAAGCTCTGGTCCAACTGAAAAGGCCAGGACTACACGTGCCTCACAAGTGGCTGGACGTACAGACAATGATGGAGCAGTACACACCTAGACTGAAATATGATAAAGTGTTATGGTAATTTCCTTCAAGAGGGTGGATCAAAGTGAATACGGATGGAGCATATAGAGGGAACCCAAGGAGGAGTTCGATTGGTTTCTACATAAGGGATGAGGTAGGTGATTTGATATACGCAAAAGGAAGGGAGATTTCTGAAGGAACCAACAATGTATCAGAAGCAGTAGCTATTGCGGAGGCACTGAAGATGTGCAAAAGTCTTAATTATTTCCAGATATGGTTGTAGACAGATTCTATGCTTTTAAAGAACATTATAGAGGAATCATGGAAGCCTCCTTGGTATATTACTGAACATGTAGAGGAGATTTTAAGACTGAAGGAACAAAGTATCATCAAGGTCACTCACATATTCAGAGAAGGGAATACATTAGCAGACCACCTTGCCAATTATGCTCTAGATGAAGGAAATACTGAGTGCCATGGTTTCTGGGATCTGGACTCAAAAGGAAGGAGGATCATTAACGAAGATAAGATGCAATGTCCTTATATAAGAGTAAAGGTTACAAGGAATTAGGAGGACAAGGGGAAGGAACAAAACCAAAAAGGAGATAAATGTGGAGTGGAACAAAGGCAAAATGAGGAGGAGAAACGGAATGGACATAACTGATCAGCAGGGTCGAATCCTATGGGAACAGATCTTGATGATCTTCTGTTATACTAACATTTGGTGTTTCTGTGCAGGGAATGATAATGTGAAGATGACTTATCATGATTGTCAATTTCAAAGGGTGGTATTAGTACATGGTACTCAATCCCTTGAAAGAGATATCATGATATACACAAGCAGGGAACAAAGGAACAGAATGCCCAGCTCGTTTGCATAGGGCAGTGAAGTCGAGTCTAATGCACAAGTTGTGAAGAGATATCATGATTTCAAGGATAATCTTACCATTAAACAAAAGTAATCGCAGCTTTAAGCATGTGGAGAATGCCAGATTTCGAGAAGAGATGGACACGAAAGCCAGTGTTGTTCTTTTGATTTTTAAAGGCACGCATGCTTCATCAAAGTCATGGAATGCACGCATGCTTCTAGAATTTTTTTTAATGAAAGCAAGCTTCAAATTGTTTGGGTGCTGGAGAGTACTAGGCCGAGGAGCTTTCAAGAGTTGGAGGACATTTTAAATTCCAACTGGGATTCACGCGTGTTTTCGCATGGAATTGCATTCTAGCAATGTAACGCATGCTGGACAATGAATTGGCATATACTATTTTGGTCAAGCAAGACTACTCACATGTCTGGAGGGGAACGCATGGCATTCGCATGGGGTGAGCGTGACTTTTGAAGGAAGCAAGAAGGCATGAGCATGGGGATTACAACGCACGCCTGTAGTTTATTACAATGCATGATGCATCATGGGCAAATTCAGTATTGTGCTTCGTGTGTATTTTTAATACATTGCACGCAGCATCGTGGGCTTCACAGCTTTATCTTTCTTTATTCCAAATGTGTCATTTGGAACCATATGCACGCATGATGCATAGTACTACAAACATCCTCAAATTAACGAGAGATCTGGAGCAAAACAATAGGCAGCACCACTTTATCTTGGGACTTTGAATCAAGGGACTAAGTCACGCAAGCAGAGACGAAATGGACAATATTGGAAATGTCAAGGCAGGCGTGGGTGCAAATGGTTGAGCTTGCTGGGTAAAATGCATACACGCATGGGGGACATAATCTTTGGGAATTTCTCTCTTAATTCCATTAACTCAACAGCCTTTGTCATGGCTATCGTCCTTGAAGTTTTACACTTTGAGGGTTATGATTTTGAGCTACGTTGCAGATGCTTCGAGCAGTCATGCACAATTGAGATTCAAAAGTGTGACCATCAGATGGTTGCGCTTATGGTGACATTGGAATGCATAAACGCAGGCACAGCATGTTGCAGCATGTGAGAGCTGTTGGTTCGCTAACAGTTGCTTTTGTTTTACAGTCCAAGAGGACAACCATGAACCTAGGCAATGGTCATTTTGGATAAATGCCCCAGCACATGCTCAAGATACAGCAAATGGCTTCAGATTACAAGAGCACTCAAAAAATAGGGGGAATCATTATCGCCGCAATGGTTCATACCACAAGCACAGCAACAAGGCTGGAATGGGGCAAAACGCATGCCCAGAATCGACCATTTCAACAGCTACGGAAGAGGACATTGTACGTAGAGCATGATTTTGACACAAGATGGAGCTGTATGCAATCAATAAATCATAGCAGCAAGTACATGGAAGGAATGGCATTCCACTAGAGTGGATATGAGTTGGATCAAGACTCATTGCAACTGCAGCGACATATGCAGGAAGCTCGGAAATACAAGTTCGATTGAATTCATAATAATCAATGAGTATACATTTGGTATATGTTCCATAGGGTTTACAAAGTCGAACAAGGCTGCAATTGTCACCCATTATGATCGGCTAGTTTTTAAACGAATTGTTCATTTTAGATCAAATGTGATATCAAGGTTGAGTTTAATGCTCAACATTGATACTAGGTGTCATGTAAAAGTCAAATTTTATCACTTTCATTATGTTAGACCACCTGACAATGTATTTTTTTATTTCAATTTATCTATATATAAAAACTAGCCCTAAGCATTTGCCTATTGGATTGCCAAAAAAAAACCGACTTAATTGGTTTGGTTTGGTTCCAATATTTAAAAACCAACTTACTTGGTTTGGTTTCTTTTTAGGGAAAAACCGACCCTAACCGAATCATGAACACCCCTACTTCAGAATGTAAGGTTGCTGTCACGTGACCAGGAGGTCACGGGTTCGAGCTGTGAAAACAGCCTCTTGTAGAAATGCAAGGTAAGACTGCGTACGATATACCCTTGTGGTCCGGCCCTTCCCCGGACCCCGAGCATAGCGGGAGCTTAGTGCACCGGGCTGCTTTTTTTTACTTCAGAATGTAGTCCATTCCTTATATTCTTTATCTTTCTATTTTCCCATATCTCTCCCTTCAGGTGGAGGTAGATATGTTCTACTTAGGCTTGCCTTTCTTATGCTGAAAATTCTACGCCTATTGCTACTTCTGCATAAATCAAACTGCCTGATTTTACTGTTATCTGCTCATGATTTTTTTTCTTTTGTCACTCTGCTTCACAATTGTTACTCCAATATGTTCTTGAATTCCTCCGGAGCTAAATTACGGTTATATTCTGACATTTCATGCAGTGTCTCGAGATGTAAGAAATAGTAGAAGAGTCTCACCTCAGCTAAGAGTAATATCCCAGAATAGTCTTTAACTGTATGTAAACGCTATGTATCTAATTATCCATTGGAATTTCGACTCAACTTCAACTTCATATATAACTAAGAGGAATTATGTTAGTTCCATGTAACGCACAATATTATGCTCTTCAGCAGTCTTAAATTGAAAACATCAATCAAAAACCAAGACTGGTTTGCTAGTATAAGTTGGAAGCAACGACTAACTTTTGGCATAGATGTTAAATTTGCAGATGAAACTCATTCTAGAACCGTAGTAAGTTTCTTCATATAAAAATATTTGTATATGTTAATGCCATTTGAAAACACAAATACAGTAGTGAACTGATAATAGAACAATTACATAAATATTTCTTCCAACATATCAAATACAACTGACGAAGGAATATCACATGAAGAATCCTTCTAAAAGGAAAGCTGCAAATGACTCTAGTACAACACAATTACCACAAAAAAAGGGGGAGAAGAACATGATCACATGACACAACGGAAGCGTAAAGCTGCTTCAATGAGGCAAAGAGGACGTCACTCGCCTCAAAATCAAGGGTTATGAGGCACTTGAGGGATTTCTAGCTTTGGCAAAGTTGGTAGCTCAGGCTTAGGAATGGATGGTATCTCGAGTTTTGGCATTGTTGGCAGTTCTGGCTTTGGGAATTCAGGCAACTCAAGCTTTGGCAGAGTTGGCAGCTCGGGTTTTGGAATTTCTGGGAATTCAGGCTTAAGCAACGTTGGGATTTCCGGGAGATGTGGCAATTCAGGCTTAGGAAGCTCTGGCAGAGTTACTTCAAGAAGATGGCGCGCTTCTGCTTGAATGATGTAGCTGCTTGTTAATGACAAAGTGACTACTAATAACAAGATAAAATATGAGTTGTGGTGATAAGCCATTGTTGAAGGTGATAAATGCTTGAAGACTAGTATACTTTATGCTTTAATTGATAATTTATTAGGCTGCACTTTGAACAAGTTTATATAGACATGGGATATGAAAAATAGTAAGGAGAATTTAGCTTTGGTTGTGGTTGCTAGGAAAAATTGCCTGTTAGGTCATCTTCTCAACAATAACATCTTTATTTAATTTAAAGCAAACTCTCCATGCATAACATCTACTATTACATAACAAAGGTCTTCCAGTAGGTAATCCAATGAGAATTTACCTTTCTTTAAGTTTTTAACACTTCAAGAGTGCGAGTAATCGTTTCAATCCTAGTTTAATCCATAATATTATATAAGTGATTGTATGTGTAATCTAGTTAAAGAAAAAAAAAGAGCAACTCCATTACTAAATTAATGCTTGTTTACATTTAAAACAAAAGTTCCATTTTGCTCTCCTTCCATATTCTCAACTAAAAGAAGTAGAAGATACAAATTCATTTGACTCTCCATACATGTGATAGTTTATATGAGTCCACCAACTGTATAGAGATCTGGTCCTATATCAGTTCCCTCAGTACTAACTACTGAAACAGTATGTAACTAAAACACAGGATTTTACGTGGAAAAAATCCCAACTCAAAGGGACAAAAACCACGACCTACACTGGTAGGATTTCAACTTCACTAACTTGTAACTACACTATTACAAGCCACTTTGTAATGACTCTATTACAAAGACTTTACTCACTCTAACTTGTAATACACTTATCACAAGCCACTTTGTCACTCATTAGTTACAATGACTTCAACCTATGACTAACTCTAGTCACAACACAAACTCAGATGGTTTATGATTTGAGTTTCCTAAAACAAAACTTCTAAGAAAGCAAGATAGGAGTTACAATGAAGAACAAAACACAAGATTACAACTCAACTAAGGACACACATAGACTCCTAGTGAAACTGGTCCGTAGTGGAATTGTCTTCTTATTCTAGACACACTTGTGACTTCAATGTTGTATAAGATCTTCAATGCTTGAGAGAATATCACTAAATGCTCAAGTGAATATCTTATGCCTTACACCATGTTGTTATACTACCCAAGACATCCCAAGGATGATGTCTATTCTTGGTTGGTACACGCATATTCCCAATGGGATGTGACTGCAACACTGTAGCGTGCACAGTTGCAGGCAGTCCACTTTCTGTAGTTGTTTTCCAGCTGTATAGTTGACTTATACTTCTGTCAGGGGAACACCAAGGGATCAGGTCCCTAATCTGGTTCTTGTGAATCTAAAGGCACACTGCCCAGATTATCTTGAGTCCATTGCTGAAGGCATGCATCAGGTCCTTTATCTGGTTCTATCAGAAAGTTTGTTAGATCATCAAAACATAGATTAAGAGTCTTTAAGCCCATCAATTTTTCCCTTTTTGATAATGACAAACTTTTAATATTGATGACTATTTATAGAGCTTAACGTAACCAGATAAAGTACCAGTAACTGCATATGTTTCCCCTGACTCTATGACTCCCCCTTAATCACCTGCTTCAATTTTTCAAGTTAATCAACTCTTCCCTCTTTTGGCATCATTGTCGCACCTCCTTTTCACCGCGCCCGCGGGGCGCGTGGGGAGTTTTCTCCAATTGAAGGA